GCCACAAAGACCCAAATTATAACTCCACTTGAGTTTCTGATTCAGTAGATTGGGGATGATGATGATCATGTTGCAGGTTGGGGACCATACAGTGAGAATCATTGGCCTAAGTCATTGAAGGATGAATTCATTAGCAATCAGCATTAAAGTCATAATGGATTACATCACATAAGATGTAAAGAACTTCTCAAAACACCTGAGCTACCCAATGTGTAGAAACAAATAGGACCAAATTTCTATCACATGTATACTAAAATCAATACAGTGGCAATAGTATCTTCAGATAATTAAAAATGGATGTGCTACAAAATGTAAGATAAATTATGTTTTATTGCATATCTAAGTTTTGTAACCTATAACACAACTGTTTCATTCATTTTTCATGGGTCATTTTCCTAGGACTTTTCTACTGAGGGCTAAATACTTTGGTTTTCAATCTCTGTGTCAAATTTAATTTATGTGTAAATTTTATATTTGCTTTTCAAATCCTGAACCAGGTAAAAATTTTATTCTACAAGAGAATATCTGCAAGCTGCTTTCAGTAGACTAGACATTTGAATGATATTAATTCTTTCAATCTATGAACATGGATGATTTTTCCTTTTGGGAAGATCTTTTTCTATTTCTTTCTTTAATGTTTTACACTTTTCATTATAGAGGTCTTTCTCTTCCTTGGTTAAACTTATTACAAGATATTTAAATTATTTGTAGCTACTGTGAATGGTACTGACTTTGTAAGTTCTTTTCCAGCCACAGCACTGTCTGTGTTACAAAGGCTACTGATTTTTTGTGTGTTGATTATACATCCTGCAACTTTATGAGACTTTCTTATGAGTTCCAATAATCTCTTAGTGGAGTCTTTTGGTTTACCTCTTTATAGGATCATGTCAACTGCAAAGAGGGATGATGTAATGTCCTCCTTTCCAATTTCTATCCCTTTGATTTCTTTTTCTTGCCTAATGGCTCTGGCTAAAATTTCCAGAAGTATATTGAATAGCAATGATGAAAGTAGTCATCCTTTTCTGGTTCTAGATATTAGTGGAACTGCTTCTAGCTTTTCCACATTCATTGTGATGCTGGCCTTGGGTTTGTCATCAATTGCCTTGATTATGCTAACGAATGTTCCTTCTATACCCAATTTGCTTAAGGTTTTTATCATGAAAGGAAATGGTATTTTCTCAAATGCCTTCTCTGTTTCTATGGAGATAATCATATTTTTTAATCTTCAATTTGGATTTCACTCTTCAATGTGTTAATATGATGTATCATATTTATTAATTTGCATATGTTGAATTATCCCTGCATACCAGAGATAAATCCCACTTCATCCAAGTGAATGATCTTTCTCATGTATTGTTGGATTTGATTAGCTACTATTTTGTCAAAAATGTTTGCATCTATGTCCATCAGGGACATGTATCTATAGTTCTCTTTCTTTGTTGCACCTTTTTTGAGTTCTGGAACTAAGTTGATGCTGGCCTCATAGAAGGAGTTTAGGATCCCCTCTGTTTCATTGTTTTGAATAGTTTGATAAGAACTACAATTAGTTCTTGAAAAATCTCATAGAATTCAGCAGTAAAGCCATCCAGTCCTGGGATTTTCTTTTTGAGGATCTCCTTATTACTGATTCAATCTCCTTCCCACTTATTGACCTATTTCAGTATTCTATATCTTCATGACTCTATTTTAGTATATTTTAGGTGTCCAGAAATCTATCCATTCCTCCTAGATTTTCCAATTTGTTGGCATACAGCTGTTTTATTCTTTTTATTTCTGTGGTATCTATTTTAACAAATCATTTTTCATCTCCAATTTTATTAATTTGGGTCTTCTACATTTTTTGGTTAGTTGGACCAAACCAGTTCTTCATTTCATTGATCTCTTATATCTTGTTTTGGCTTCAACTTTATTTATTTTTCTCTAATTTTAATTATTTCTTTCCTCCTACTAACTTTGGGTTTATTTTGCTCTTTTTATGGGGGGGAGGGTCCTTGAGATGCACTGATGAATCATTTTTTGATGCCTTTCCAATGTTTTCATGTAGGCACTGATTGATATAAACTTTCCTCAACAATGTTTTTGCTATATCCCATAATTTTGATATAATGTATTGTTATTTTCATTCCTTTCCAGAAATTTTTCTCCCTTTTGATTTCTTCTATGACTCACTGTTCATCCAGAATCATCTTGTTAAGTCTTCTTGTGTTTGTCACTTTCTGGAGTTCCTTAAGATGTTAATTTCCAGCTTTATTCCATGTGTTCAGAAAAGATATATGGAATGATTTTCAATATTTTTGAATTTGTTGAGACTTGCTTTATGACCTAGCATATTGTCTATCCTAAAGAAAATGCCATGCACTAATTAAAAGTATTTATATTCTTCAGTTGTGGGATGCAGCGTTCCACAGATATCAATTAGGTTCATTTTGGCTATGGTGTTGATTAGGTCAGTAGTTTCTTTGTTGATTTTCTGTCTACTTGATCTTTCCATTGATGAAAATGGAGGGTTGAAGTCTCCCATTATTAATGTATTGGAATCTATGTCTCACTTCATATCCAGTAACAATGCCTTTCAATAGTGAGGTGCTCTGGTATTAGGTACATAGACATTTACTACACTCACATCTTCCTGTTGAACTTATTCCTTAATCGTTACAAAATACCTTTCTTCATCTCTTTTAACATATTTTATGTTAAAGTCTATTTTGTATTATATCAGGATGGCTACTCCTGTTCTCTATTGCTCTCTATTAGCATGGAATATTTTTTTCCATCATTTCACTTTCAGTCTGAATGCTTGTTTGTTGGTGAGGTGTGCTTCTCACACACAGAAAATCAGTGGATCTTGTTTTTTAAACCAAGTCTGTAGTTTTGTTTTGTTTTGTTTTGTTTTGACAGGCAGCTAGACAGTGAGAGAGAGAGAGACAGAGAGAAAGGTCTTCCTTCTGTTGGTTCACCCCCTAAATGGCCACCACAGAAGGCGCTGATCCGAAGCCAGGAGCCAGGTGCTTCCTCCTGGTCTCCCTTGCGGGTCAGGGCCCAAGCACTTGAGCCATCCTCCACTGCCTACCTGGGCCACAGAAGAGAGCTGGACTGGAAGATGAGCAACTGGGACAGAATCCAGCACTCCAACTGGGACTAGAATCCGGAGTGCCAGTGCCACAGGCGGAGGATTAACCAAGTGAGCCATGGCGCCGGCCCCAAGTCTGTAGTTTTAACTGGAGAATTTAGGCATTTACATTGAAGGTTATTATTGATAACTATTGACCTGGTGCCATTTTCCCATAAATATTCCTATTGACTGCTTGAGATTTCCACTGTACATTTATTAGGAGATATTATGCAATCACATTCTTTCATAATGATGACTATCTTTCTGCGTTACTGAGTATAGCACATCCTCAAGCATCATTTGTAAGGCTGTGACAACAAATTCTTACAATTTCTGTTTGTTATGGAAGGTCTTTGTTTCAGCATCATTTTAAATGAGAGCTTCGCAGGATATAGTATTCTGGGTTGACTTTTTTTTTTTTTCTTTTAAGACTTAGACTGTGTCTCTTCATGTTCTCCTAGCCTGTACTTTTTCTGATAAGAATTCGGCTATCAAATTGGAGATTCTCTGAAGGTAATCTGGTATTTCTCTTGTGCATATTTTTGAATCTTTTATGTTTTATTGTTGAAAGATTGACTATAATGTATCATGGTGAAGATGGAGTTCTATATGTTTCTTGTACTTGAATGTCCCTTTCTGTCTGAAAATTGAGGAAGCTTTCTGTAATTATTTCACTAAACAGGCCTTCTAATTCATTCTCTTTCCACACCTCCATGAATTCTTAAGTCCCGTACATTGGGTTGTTTGATAGTATCCCATAAATGGCAAACAGTTTTGTTTTTGGGTTTCTAATGTCTTTTCTTTTTTTGGGGGGGGGGAGGGGGCTGTGATACTTCCAAAGATTAGTCTTCTAGCTTGAATATTCTTTCTTCTGCCTCAACAAGTCTGTTGTCGAGGCTTTCCAGTGTATATTTTATTTGACATATTGAATTCTTCATTTCCAAAACTTTACTTTATTCCTCTTCAATATCTCTATCTCATGGTAAAATTTTTCATCCATGTCATGTATGGATTTCTCTAACACACAAATTTGCTTCTCATTGCTTTTGAGTAATCTCTTGATCACTATTTTGAATTTTTTTCAGGTATTTCATCAATATCTTCATCTTTACATTCTAATATTGAACTGTTATGTTACTTTGGGGGAGTCATACTGTTTTCCTTGTTAATATTTCTTGTGTTTATATGTTTATTTTTAGGCATTTGTGGAACCACTTTTTTTTTTCTCTTCTGATGCCTTTCGTCTTTGAAATATGCCTCTGTGGCTGATGGCAGTGTCAGCTCCTTCAGTGGATATTCTGAAATGTGTGCTTGATGGGGCCAGGGAGCTCCAGTCAGTGCTTGGAGCTAGTGCAAGAGCCCAGGGTGACACCCACGTTGGCCATGGTAGATCTCCTCTATTGTCAGTTGTTGGGGGGGGGGGGTAGTTATCATCATGTTAGCTGGTGTGATCACTGCCTCACCTCCTTTCTGCCAAGGTGCAAATGCCCATAGGAAGCCCACAGTGGCTACATGTGAGCACAGAACTCATTGAAATGTCCCATGCCAGAGACTCAGGGAAATATGAGCCTCTGATGCCAGACACAGTGATTATCCAGAGACCCAGCTACACTCCACACCCTTCTGTGCAGTCACAGAAGTCCCACGGTCATAGAACACAGATCTTCCACTGTCACAGGGAGCAGAGAATCCATCTCAGCCCCGCAAGGCTGCTCTATCCATGTTGAGAGCCTAGGTGCTCCCACAGCCAGCTGCCTGTTGGCATTCCACTTGGCAGCTGAGTATAGGCACCAGTGATATACAGGGGAGGGAGTCCCTCACTGGCTTCAGTCTGCTGCTGTCTCCTTTCATTTCCCTTTAAGAAGATGGCATCTCTTCCTAATGCTGATCCTGATACCGGTAAGAGTGGAACAGAGCACTGCCTGACTTTTCATGGCAGGGTACGGTACTCTGCAGGAGTTGGGGAGGTAAAGAAAGCAGAACAACTTTGCTGCTCCAAGCCTGGCTGTTATTCAGATCCCTGTCAGTTCCCCAAGGCTAATGTAAAAGTCAGTGGGTGACTGTGGAATTCTCTCTCAGCTATCTTCCTACCTTGTCATGCTTTGATGGCAGCCCATAGCCTGCACCTGGATGGACTCACACTGATGTCTCTGTCCTCACTTCTCTTATCCCAGAGAGTCTTCATTGTTTTTTTCTGTTCTTAACCAATAACCTCCACCCCTCAGGACCCTGGAAATGTGATCCTGCTTTTGTTCTTTCCATACGCCACAGCAGTTGATATTGGTGTGGCTACACCCTATTCAGTCATTTTGGAACTCAGAATCAGCTTTCTATCCCCTACATCTAGCCCAGTGCCTGACACTATGAGAGATAAGCAATAAACTTCTGGCAAATAAAATCCTAGATGCTTTAAAATACTGCTTTCCATTAGCATCAAAGACACAATTTCCTACTGTAACTATCCTCATAGGCTGTTTTCCTCACCTCCCCAAAATGTGGTTTTTGTATGTCTGCTTGCTTGCTTTTTTACCATGCTTGAGCTATGTTTCAGTTACATGCTGCATTTGCAACCTAGGTTTGCACCTCCAAATGTTATTCATAAAAAAGTAGCTTGCAAATTTATCTGTCAGAAAAATTGTTGAAGTGCTGGAGAAGAATTCCATTATCTGTTGTGAAGTTTGCTTTAGGGAAATAAAGAAAAACAGATATTTGCATAACTAAAGATTAGAACACTCATCCAAGCCCTTCTGATGTCTATCAACAAGAATACCAGCACAGTTAGATTAAGTTCAGGTATATTTCCCCTGATTCCTAGTGACAGCTGGGAGGCATGTAACAGCCATTCTGACAGTGAGAAAGTTTCTTTCCATGATGGGGAAAAGGACAGGAGCAAACATGCTCAGACACCAAAATGAATACTATCTCAAGCTTTCCAGAGGCTTTTTTCAATTAAAAGGTTTATGAAGAATTTCTGAGTCTTGTTTGAAATATGTACTGCAGAAACATGAGCAACAATCATAAATTCAGAAATCAGTAAATTCATTATTACCATCACTTATCAACTCAAATTATGAAGAACCCCCACTGTGTGTGTGTGTGTGTGTGTGTGTACAAATACCTGAGCAGGTGCACTCCTTCCTGAGAAAATTTGGCAGGACTCTGAAGAATGTACAGATCTCATACCTATACAAAGAACAAGTATCTGGGCTATTGGCAGTTCACACTGGTACAGATGATTTTAAAACTCTATATGTGAATGACTTTTCTCAATTCTTCATCATTGCCATTTTACTGGTCATAAAATCCCTTACACATTTCAGTCACCTACTAATGATGACAAGAATTCTCTAGAAAGTGTCTTTTGTGTCACAGCCTTTCTACAAAGTATCTCAATATTCCTTTGTTCATGACTCCACCACTCATATTTTCGCTTCATTTCTGCATGATACATCAAGTGCAAGGCCTTGCTCTTCTCTCCCGCCCATATCCCATCACTTTGAAGCTTTTCCTTGAGGATTCAAGCTCCTCTTTCTCTGACATACAGGTTGATGAGAGACAGGAGTAACACATGACTTTTAAAAAATCTTTTTATGAAGGCAGTATGGGATGATGTACCACAGTCATATTCTTTCAAAGCTTTCAATAAGCCCTGAGAATAGTTCTGTTATTTCTTCTAGTCCATGTCCTTTCACTCTGCATTGACAGCAAGCTTTGACAGTATGTGCCATTCTTATGTCAACTGCAGGCATCGTATTGTTAGGTCCAAGCTTTGACAAAAGTGATTCTATCAGGATAAGGAAGAAAATGCATTGATAATAAAACGCAAGGTGCATTTACTTAATTCCAAAGTAAGGAAACAGAACCATTTATTTTTAAACCTAAACAATTATTTTAATGGTACTTTCTACCATTAAGAGCTTTGTATTTGTTTTGCTTTTTGGGGGGTGGAGGGAGGGCAGGTTTTGGTTTTGTTTTTCTTTTTGGCTTAATACTTACTAGTAAGGTTTCCTTGGAGGTAACCACCACAAACAATCCAAATTGCTTCATGGGTATCTGTGAAAAAAATTTCTTATGAAATAAGTCATTTGACTTTTTTAGGCACCTACTATATATTTAGGCATAAGTCAATGATTTTTTATAACTGCAACTACAAAATTATCATAGAGAAATACATGATCTTAGTTGCAAAGAATCTTACATAGATTGCAGGCTTTTATGAGTCATAAATTTTTAAATATTTTTGGCAAGTAAACTTTTATGAATTTTATGAAGCCAAGTTTAGGAGATCAGAAGATGGTAGGTCATGTGGGAAGTGATGGCCATGGATGAAAGCAGATATACGATTTGGAGTAAGTGTGTTGACATAGTGCTGTATTAAACTCGAAAAGTTTATTCTCAGGGAAAAAGTGGTGATCTTCCTGGGTGTGTTTTTGTTGTCCAGGAAGAAAATATAGTCCTATGAGGAGGAAAAGCTCTGGTAAAAAGAACAGAAGGTGTCTACTGAGGAAATGCTAGAACAAAAGACAGAACTGCAGACCTAGCCAGAGGCAGGAAAGATGAAAGTTTAGGATCTCTAGGACTGGGAAGTGACTTTTACCCAAACAAATGGTCCATTAAGATTTGTGTTATTTTCTAGAAATGATGGTGCTTTGAAGAAGGGCTGTCACTAAAATTCAAATGACATCTCTGCAACTATCTTACTCGACTAGACTATACCATTTGGAAAGAGCATTTTAATTTATTTGCTTTCAAGAAGGAATTTGAAACAATCATGTGGGCTGAGAGGAGAGAAACTGAAAGGCTTGGAGAGGTGAGGCTGCAGATTTGTGGAGGATTTTCACCTTTCTTAATACAGTCACATAGAAATGCAGTCAATCACTATTGAGTCTACCACTTCTTTTTTCTAGTTGTTTTCCTTGACTCAAACTAGACCTGCTAGAGAGATTTTCACTTAGTTTAAAATAATATTTAGATCTCAAAAGTGAGATTAATATTACCCCAGTCAAATTTGTGGATAGATTAAAGCTCAGTTCATAGAGGACATACCATTCAGTCCCTGGATTTCCACTATCTGTCTGCTAATGACTTGCTAAAGGTCTGTTTTCCCTTCATTCCTCCTTACCTAAAATAAGCTTTGAGTTTCAATAGCTGCTCCTAACCAAGCTCAATACAGTTGTTCCTTGATACCAAAGGTTCACACAAGATCAAATTTCACCCACACTCAGGTCCTTGATATAAAAGGGGTAGTACTTGCATTTAACCTACGTACATCCTCATATATATCTTAAATCATTTCTAGATTACCCACAATACATAATATGATGCAGATGCTATATAAATAGTTACTATCTTATGTTTCTTAAGGAAACAATGACAAAGAAAAAAAAATCAAGTCAGAGTTTCTGGAAGATACAGTATTTTCCATTTGAGCTGTTTTACCATGCCTAATATTCATTTCATTGGCTTTTGTGGGTCATCTTAAAGAAAAAGGAAAAAGGAAAAAAGAAAAATATTAGGAAATACACCCTTAGACTACACAGTTCATTATGTGGTGATTGCCTATAGGTATGTAAAAGTAGCCCATTCGAAAGAAGTCATGAAACATAGGGGAACGAAAACATATTTAAAAAAAAAAAAAAAAAACACCTTGGCCGGCACCACAGCTCAATAGGCTAATCCTCCACCTGCAGCGCTGGCACCCCGAGTTCTAGTCCTGGCTGGGGCGCCAGATTCTGTCCTGGTTGCTCCTCTTCCAGTCCAGCTCTCTGTTGCGGCCCGGGAAGGCAGTGGAGGATGGCCCAAGTCCTTGGGCCCTGTACCCGCATGGGAGACCAGGAAGAAGCATCTGGATCCTGGCTTCAGATTGGCGCAGTGCATTGGCCACAACACGCTGGCAGTAGCAGCCATTTGGGGGGTGAACCAACGGAAAAAGGAAGACATGGGTGTGGCTCTCTCACTGTATCACTGTCTAACTCTGCCTAAAAAAAAAAAAAAAAAAAAAAAAAAAAAAAAAAAAAAAAAACCTTTACTATAAAAAATGTATGCATCATAATTTTAAATGATTTTTTACAGATTTTTTTAAAAGTTTTTTTGTTTGTTTGTTTTGTTTTGTAACTCTCCTGTAATCTTTCTTTCATTTGAGAACACAAAACAAGAAGTCATGGTATTTGATATGGAGTTGATAGACCAAATATACATATATATAAAATAATTGAAGAACAATAAAACCAAGTTCAAGCATGGATGATGCAGAGTTCAGAAGCATACACAATCTTACTCCATAATGACTTCCCTCCTCCTTGTCAAAGTCATCATGAAAAGGTTTTGGCTTGCCATCCCAAGGAAGAAATATAGTAAATGAGGCAGAAGGTAGAGACACAGTGAACCCATTTTACTATACATATTAGGTACACAGGAGCAGATGGTTTACTGAAGAATAATGAGAAAGAAAATTCAGAATGGAAGAAGAGAATTGACATCTATATCTATATGAAACACATCAACTCTTAGTGTAGGATTAATCTTCTGAGTATAAAGTTAACTGAAAATGGATCTTTGTAAAATAAGAATGGAAATAGGAGAGGAAGGAGGAAGAAGGGTGGGAGCATGGGCAGGAGGCAGAGGAGGGTGAAAGTATCACTATGTTTATGAATCTGCATATATGAAATACATGAAATTTGTATACCTTAAATAAAATTATAAAAAGAGAACTTAAAAAAATTAAAAATTAAGGGGCATTTTTTCATAATTGTCTATTTGTTTTAGGAGCAAGGGAATCAATTTTTCATTTGTTTCTAGATTTTTCTTACATTTTTGTATAGAATTTATCATTTTCAATAGTGCTTTTTGTTTTCTTCTTCATTTAATTCAATCTACAATGGGTGCCCCTCCAAGCAAAAAGTATGTCATATTCTTATGACTTTGTTTTAATTGTATAAAGCACAAGTAAAATCACAGTCTAATCTCTAAAGGAATTAAAAGAGTAAATTTGTTCATTCTTGCTCTAATTCCACAGTCAAAAGCAGCTGGAGTTTATACAAGGTCCAGATAGTTCAAACCCAATCAGAGCAGGTTATTTTCCTTTCCACTTCTGACTGTGAAAGACCTGGTGCCAGGTTATCATTCCCAGAAAACATCTATGCCAGCAAAACCTGCAGATAGAGACTTCCTTTTTTTTTTTTTTCCTTTCTGAATTGTTAGTTGGTCCCCCAGCACATTTTGAATATAACCTTTTTAATCCCTGCATTTGCAATTAGAGATTAAATTTCCATTCCAAGAGTCATTCTGCAGATGGCATAGCAAGAAAAAATGGGAGGTATTTTAAAATTGTATTTATACAGAACACCAGATGAATTTGCCAGGCTGTTTCTTCCTAAGCTTATACATTCTATGAAAATTGATTGTTTAAGATGTAGATTTCATTTGCAGGGATTTAGCATTTCTATAAGATTTTAAAGCATCAATTAATACATCTCTTTTGTTCAGCACAGTTGCTTTAAATATAGAAGTAAAACCTGTATTTAAAAAAAGTACTCTGTAAGATTAAGTCACCTGTGCAGGGTCACCAGGGTAAGTTCAGAAAGGCCACATGATAATGGAATGGACAAGTCACTGAACCAAGGCATCCATAAATGGAAACCCCATCACATCTTAGGCAATTCAGGGAGTTCAATTCTTAATTAAGATATTTTTCCTTTAGCATAGCATCCTCTGTGAGTTTTTAAAAATCCTGTAGCTTAAAAAAAATCCTGTAGCTTTTCAACTTTTACTGACACATAAGAAAGTACATAAATGTATAGCTTGAGGAGTTTCCTAAAAGTGAACATGTAACCACCTCCCAGAAATTTAAAAATTACTAGTACCCTAAAAGCTCTTTCAAGTTCCTTCCCAAGTTATTTCCTTCCCTAAGATAACCTGTATTTCAATTCTAACACCAAAGACTGGTGATGTTTGATATTCACCTAAACAGCTGCATGTAGAAGTATTTTGTTCACTGCCATTTCTATAAGTACTCTACAATTTCTCCATTTTAGTTATGGTGAACATTCAGGGAGTTTCTAATTTCAGATATTATAAATGCTGTTGTTATGATCATTTTTATGCAGGTGCATTTCTGTTAGTGAACATATGCATGTATTTCTGATAGGATTAGAACTAACTGTAGAATTGCTAGGTCCCTATTATCCAAAATGGTCACACCAATTTACATATCCCTCAGCAATATATGAAGGGTCCAGTTGCTCTATAACCTTGGCAATACTGGACAACTTTAGCAATCTCGTGATTATGCAGTGGTTTTACACTGTTATTATAAATTGTACTTCTCTGATGACTGACAGAGCTGGGCATAGGTTCATATTTATTGGGCATTGGAGAAGTGTCAAAGTTGTTTGGCTATTATACAATTTATTTTTTTTTATTTAACGAGTCCTCTGTACATGCCAACATGAATCTTTTTGAGATACATACATTGCAAGTAAGTTCTATCCTGTGGCTTACTTGTGTACATTCTTGTGTCCTAAAGAATTTTAAGGAAACCCAACTTACTGACAATTTGTTTTCTGAATAATTTTATATATTCCATAAGAAATCTTTGTCTTTCAGAAGTTCACATAGTAAATTTGGCAATCTTCTAAAATCTTTAATGTTTCATCTTTTAAACTGGACCTATAATCCAAATTTATTTTATGTTGTTTCAATTACTGGATTAAAATCATATTTTTTCCATTTAGATATCCTTTTGATCCAGCACTGCCACTGGAAAAGACCACCTTTACTCTATGCATTATAGTAATGTGTTTTTTATAAAGCAATTGTTCTATGTAAATGGAGGTATAATGCACCTTTACTGTATTTGTCTAGCCTATATCGGTAACACACTCTCTAGTTAGCATAGTTTTACAAATCTCAGTATTTGATGAAACAAGTCCTCTAATTTTGCTCTTTTCATTCAGTAGCCCCTTTCCCATTTTAGTCTTTACATTTCTATATATAGTCTAAAATCACTTGTCAATTTTTATAGGAAAACTGAGCTTACTGGAATTTTGACTCAA